CTGGCAGAGGGGGAGGGGGCTGGGGGGGGGCGGCAGGGGGAATGGAACTTCTGCTGCAGTGGCTGCAGAGAGCTTAGCTTCATAGGTTGCATCTTAACCCCTTGCGCCACCAGGGAGGCCTCAAATTCAGAGTACTGGAGTAGGGAATAAAGATTTGTGTTGTTTCCACTGTGAGGCACTATAAGTCTTCCATAATGCTCTTAAGTGAGGTTACTGGATCTGAATTTAGCATTAATGTCTTTCTTATATCCACTTGCTATTCATTGTCTCATATTAAGGACAAAGAAAATCAGTTAAGGAAACAGATTTGTTTTTAAGTGAAAGAAGTGGCTCTCAGAAATGCACCCAAAATTTCTTCTATAGGTAAAATTGGACATATTTTAAATCAAGAACTTTTGCCATCCCTGTATTTTGAAAGGGAGCCATATTGAAAATCATGAATAGCTTTGGAGTAAATCGTATCTACATTCAGATGCCAACTCTGCTGCTGTAATTGTGAAGTTCAAACAGGTAATTTTCATTCTATTTCTGTATTCCTGATCTGTAAAACAGGACTAAAATTTCACATCTCATAGGGTTATTATTGTAAAGAACAAATATAAATAAGGTGATTTGTACATGACAGTTGTCAATAAATCATTAGCTCATAGTAGTATAATTATTTCTGTAGTCTGTTTTACTTACTTTCTCATCTCTTGGTTATATTGTAGAATAATGCAATTGCTGAATAATGATCACTGAAAAGCTAATGGGTTGCGTTGTACAAAAGGAATATAAATGAACCACTACACAATGATTCTGTGTGTAAGAGAGAGACAATCACGGGCAATTCTATTTTTGATGTCCTCAAATGTGACTTTAAATAAATCATGTAGGCAAAGCAAAATATGTTTAAAATATATCATTATTTCTCAATTTTAACTTTGTCAGGGTTATGTTTTTGGTTTTTCCTTTGAGAGAAAATAAAATCTTTGTTTAATAAATGTAATTTCCCACAGGAATTATAAAGTATATGTTGTATATTACACTCAATACTTTGTGTTAGCAATACTTTAAGTTATAGAAAGATTTATAAACAAATATTCTTAAAAGAATCTAGAGTTCAAAGTACACCCAATTAGAATTCAGAAAAGAGATGAGTTTTTAAATGCAATTTTAAACTTGGAAAGGGAATCTATCAGGAGGTAATTGATTCCACCAAAGAGAAATAATGATTGAAAATGTTGCTAGAGGATCCTCTGGAATATAAAAATGCATGGAAAAAGCAATAAGTAGGTTACACATTTGCAAACACATTTGAAAAATAAAGCTTTGTAGTGAACTCATTAGCAAACATCAGGAATCCCTACAACAGTATGAGCTTATTCAAACTCCTTTTTTTTTTTTTCTTAAGCAATATTCCAAGGAGAATAGTGGTGTGGCAAATAAATGTATAATCAATTAGAAGTGTCCTTAACTACATGAACACACATTATTGCATGTATTGATATACCAGTGATATTCCAGCTCTGTACCAGCACAGAATCTGATTTTACAAGAAACATGACAATATGTTCCCTTGTAAGAAAACAAGATTAAGCATTAGGGGATGGCTTGGGGGCAGGGCGGAGGAGAGAGGGAGGAGTGACAGAAGACTAAAACTTTCCTGTGCAATTGTAGATTTCTATAGTGCAGGTCTTGTAAAATTCAGGGAAAAAAAGAACATTAACCTGACAGAAGCATATTTGCCTCTGATCCTTTTCTCTTAGATTTCCAATGTCAAAGCAGATGATAGTACTAAGAAATATTGTGGAAATCAGAAATAGTATTCATTATAAAACAGAAGATAGTTAGGCTAAAAAATTAAAAATCGAAGGTTTACAGGTTCTTAAAAACTTGGGAATCTTTGAAAGATTGAAATTGAAGGGTTGTACTGGGAAAAATTTTGTCAGAAGTCTGTTTTTGTATCCTAAATTTGTGATTTTCCTCTTCCAGGTGGTGTTTATTAGGATGTAACTGTGTCCTTGTTCTAATCAACCTCCAGTGTAAGCACTCTAGTTATAATGTTTTTAGAAAGTTGCAAATATTAAAATATAAGGGGCACTTCCTCTCTTAATCTACGGTTCCTCCTCACCCCCATCTCATGACCAAACCAATCCTTTTGCCTCATCTCCTTTGGCCTCCAAAGTCACTGCTCCAAATTCAAAGACTTCATTAAATGTGATTTGGAATGCTGTACCAATGTCTTCTTAAAGGGAAAATATACTAAAGCAGTAGATATAAATAGATGTATAAAATCGTATTGGAGAAGCTCAGAAGTGCTGCACTCAAGAAAAGCACGGCGATTGACAAGCAATTTAAGCTGGAGTGTGAAAGGATGCAGAAATAACAAGATTTGCATGAAAAATATTGAGATCATGAGAACATCAAATTTAAACGAAAAACTCATGTGCCTCATGATTTAATCATGAGGGCTGACATTACTGTTATAACTTTCAACATCCTTGGCTTTTGAAAATAGTTCTATAATGAGGGTAGAGTATATCTATCTATATAGAAAACCAATGCTGTTTTATCCATTTAGCTCATTATTATGAGAAATGGGATTACAAGATTTTTAAATCTTAATATATATGTTGGGAAGCCCAAACAATTAAATATGGCTGAACACCTATTTTTGGTCAGGGACTCATAGCAAAAGAGAAAAACTAAGCTAGGTTATGAAACAAGCCATTATTTAATTAGTGATTAATCCACGAAAAGCAGAAAGGAGTTCAGATTGACACAGGTCAATTCTAGTATGTCTTATGAAAATTTTTAACAAGTACGCTAGGTTCAAGAGATTGTCCATAGAAGTCATTTCAAGGGCTCCATATTGACCTGGTTAAGTTTCATTCTACAAACCAGGCAGCTGACATAAAGTAGATCTTATTTTCCTTTCTCTTTTATTTTTTTTATAGCATAATAGGTGGTCTGAAAATCTAGTTGCACTTGTTATCTCAGAGGAGAAATGCAGTTCTGACTTCTGTTTATACTTTCATATCATACTGTATTGCTGTGAACCTAGATGGCACTTCCAGTGGGACGCCATGTTTAGCCCATGAATGAGGAGACTGTCACAATCAAAAGTGCTTCAGGCACAAACAGATTTGAAACAATCTTCCTACTGACTGGAAGAGAAAAGGCTGGTTCTGAAGATCATTAAAGGTTCTATTGATGTGGTTTCGGGGGCACACATTTAGATTTTCAAATGTGTTTTACATTTGGAACAGTTTTACTCGCATTAAAGCTCAGTTGCTTTCCCTGAGAACTCTCCTTCTTGTCATCATTTGCAGATGCTTTCACAGAGAACTTACTGTTCCAACTGGGAAGGAGGTGGGAGAGGTGGGGAATGCAAAGCTAACGATTGAACTAGCTCTCTTGACTCAGAGATGCTAGGATCACCTGCTCAGCAACATTCTGTAGAGTGTGAAGCACAGAGATGAAAGGGGCCACCTGCAGTGTCCCAAAAAAAAAAAGGAAAAAAAAAACTTTTTGGAATTAAAATGTGCTAGCAGTCGCTGATAAAAACTAAAAGGACTTTTTATCAATATAAATTATATTGAAAACAATTAGGCAGTCATGACACCATACCATTTTTGGTGTGCATGTGTGTGTGTGTATGTGCATGTATTCATTTATTGTGGTGACATTTTGTTGACCACTTCATCATAAGGATATCTTTTTATGTCATTGTAGGAACATTTCTCCATACAGCATCTTATCATTGACATTTCATTACCAACTTTGTCAGGGACATTTCTTCATGTAATACACCAACATTGACATTTCATCAAAATGGCAGGTAATAACTCAGTGCTGATAGGTAGCATAATAAGCCCCTTAATTACATTATTACATATTACATATGTTTTCTACTTCCTAATATAAAACTATACCTGTAAAAGGAGATATCTCTTACATCTCCTGGCCATAAATCTTTTAAAACTCTGAGTGATGCAGCTAACTAAAATGTTATATATGAACTTGTATGTACTCATAATTTCTTCTAGTGCCATTTGAAAAATATTTTATGAGGGTAATATAACTACAACCCATGGACCAAATCCATGCAACTGTTCATTTATGTTTTTAAAAAAAAGTTATTGAATATCTGCTTTTCATCAGCCACAAAGTTAGGGAAATATAATAGAGATCATCTGATACACAAAGTCTAAAATTTACGATTTGGTCCTTTACAAAATAAGTTTGCTGTTCCCTGTCCTAAATGATGTTTATTAAAAATGTGGCTCGTTAAGTCTCAGTGCTATCACAGAATCAACACTATGGCCTGAGTTCGAATCCTGCCAGGGTGTTAACCCACAGATAGAGCCCAGACCTCTCCTGTCTCGTCCACTGCACCCCTTAGCAGTGTATTTCAGTAGATCTGCCTGTTCTGCTCCCCACTCTGTCTCTCGTGAATCCTCTCACCCTCTGGCCTACACACCAGGTCTTTTATGCGTAAATAAAAAATATATCTTTTAAAAAATGTGGGTCTTAAGCCCCAATGCCATTCTATGGAATCAGAATATTTGCAAATTAGCTCTTGGTGTTCTACATTTCAACAAGTATTGTATAGGACTTTTATCAAAAAACATAAGTTCTCATACCTCTCAGTGTATGAGAAGATTGATGGAGAACACAAAATTATTGTCTTCACACAAATAATAATCAAAGAAAATTCAAAACTGATCTACTGTAGTCTCAGGTTCAGCTGTCCTCAGTCTCTTTCACAAAAGAAAGCTGAAGAAGGAAGTACATTCATTCATTAACTATCCAATTAATTGGTCGTCCAGCCTAGAAAAGTTATTAAACAATATGTAAATAACAGGTTAGCCCATTTATGACTTGGAAAAATCTGTATTGCTTAAATTAATACTTATAAAAATTCAAATAAAACTGATGAAAATGAGCACTGAAATTCCTCTTTACCCAAGATCCCCATTTCCATTTCTTAAATGGCTATAACAATTAGCTAGTCAGTGTTTGCTTTGGCAGCACATATACTAAAATTGGAACAATACAGAGAAGATTAGCATGGCCCCTGCTCAAGGATGACGCATAAATTTATGAAGCAGTCCATATTTTTGAAAAATGATGTAAAAATATATACAATAAAATTTTTAAAAAATTAGCTAGTGAGTGTTTATCCTTTCAGAATCTTTTCTTTTCACCTCCAAGGAGTTTCTAAAAGCGTCTCACTTAATAAAGTCTTCCTACATTTTCTATATTTACATTTTTCCTTAAAAGTTAGATTAATTGCATATCAATACTCATTCAGTAGACTAATATTGCATATCAATATTGACCCTAAGCCAACTTCTAATGGCACATGACTAGTGCTGCTGGAAGAAATGTCTATGAGCTGGACTGGACATCAGGAAAATTTAATACATGCATTTTTTCCACAATTTCAAATTTTGCAACATCCCTTCTATTTTATACTCTTTTATCCTCTTGTCATTTATTCACTTAAAACTAAAGATTTTCTACTTCCCTTTGGTATATTTCTGTTTCTCATTTCCCCTTTCCATTTGTCTACATATTCTCCATTTGATTTGATTGGTTTTGTAACTATAGATGATCCATATGGTTTCCCTTAGCACTGGCATTTCATCCAAAAGTCTTTTTCCTACTCTTTCAGTAAATAGATACTATAGTGTCTTCTCTCCTAGTAACTTTTTCTGGAAAGGTGTTTCACTGCTGCCATAGACACATAGAGTAACTTTAGTTGCTTCTTTTTGCAGAGAAAGACATGCTATCATTGCTTTGCCCATTTTTCATTTTATTTTGTCTCATTATATAAAAATGTAATAATAATCATTCATAGTCATTCATTCTATCTATGTCAAGTTTAATATGCTATTGATGACTTCATAATTTATTACAATTTCACCTTTTTCTTTTTTTAAAAAAGATTTATTTATTCATGCATGTAAGAACCAGGGTATAGGCCAGATGTGCTGGAGGGTGAGAGGATTCACCAGAGACAGAGTGGGGAACAGAACAGGCAGACTGAAATACACTGCTGAGGGGAGCAACAGGCGAGACAGGAGAGGTCTGCTGCACCATGTGGGTATCTCCCCGGCTGGCAGGGATCAAACCAGGGCTGCGGAGGCTGCAGACAGCTTCACAGCACTGCATTCAACTGCCTGCACTACCTGGGAAGCCCAAACAATTTTACATTTTTTTTACAGGACCTATGTCTTTTTTCTTCATATTATCATGTACTTAACCCAGTCTTTCTCTATTTTTTTTTTATTAATTTCTATCCTTTCCCACCAGGTAACAAAACTTTTTTAACCCAGACATTATATTACTCTGCTCACTTATTTAAAAAGTGTATTAACTTGTTAAACCAATCTGTATCAGTGAAACCTAGTTACTTATTAATTAACAAATATTATCTTTCTACTGTCAATTCACCTTCTATAGTCAGAATTTTTTTTTACAAAGTGGTTATAAAGGGAAATAGCACTGTAAACTGTTTAAATAATTCTTGTTCTCCTCTCTAAACTTCTCTGTTCATATATTTTCTTTTTCTTCTCTCTGATAATGGAGATTAAAAGTTGCCACCAACATTCTCATTATAATATTCTTCTTGCTATTTTTTTCTAACTCCTATGGTGTGTAATCCCAGAGTGTATTTTAAATGAGTATTCTTATGTTCCTTGTTGGAAACTGACAGAAGGATAAGAGGAATAGCAGTGAAATTGCCAGCAAAGGGTAAGAGAGGGGAAATAAGGATAAAATAAAGTGCAAGAGTATAGTTTAAGGAAAATAATGTGTAAAACTATAAACCAAGGACAGAAGAATATCACATTTTTCTTTTTTCTTTTTCTTTTATTCAATAAGTCCAGGGATTGAAAGGCATGCTGGTAAACATAATGAAGGGTACCTTGTAAACTTGCCACAAATTAAATTGATTGCTATAGTCAATCAAATGTTGAAAGTATGATTGTTGTCATATTTATTTCCTGAATAAAACTGCTCTATGATTAATAAATGCCATAAGAAATCTTCATAGCTCTCTCACTGTATATGCTATAGATAAGAAAGGTAATAAAAAGAGTTGTTTATTATAAGCTATCAGTGCAGATAAGGAACAAATTTGCCTTCCTCATCTCCCAACTTGACTGGAACTGGTCCATGCTGCATATGGTACAGTTCTCAATTTATAACTTTTTTGACTACATTGCAACTGTTTATGTACTTGCCTATCAGTCCTACCAGACTAGAAGACAGGTCACAAATTGATAATGATTTCTCTTTTCATTTTCCCAGCACCCAGCTTTATAATCTCAAGAAACATTTATTATATGGTGTGAGAAAGGGATGAACCAAAGAATAAAATTATATAACCAAGAAGATCCAATCAAATAATGGGCAGAGGAGCTACATAAACACTTTTCCAAAGAAGACATGCAGATAGATGGCCAATAGGCACATCAAAAAGTGTACATCATCACTTATTATAAGGGAGATAAAATCAAAACCATAATGAGATACCATCTCATACCTGTGAGAATGGCCCATATCAAAAAGGTCATAAACAAGTGTTTGCAAGGATGTGGGAAAAAAAGAAACCCTGATACACTCTTAGTAGGAATGTAGACTGGTCCAGCCTCTATGGTATAGAAATTTCTTAAAATAGATCCAGCATATGATCCAGCAAATCTCCTCCTAAATATCTACGAAGGAACAGCAACAACAACAACAAAAATTGAAGGGAGCACTATTTACAATAGCCAACCTATAGAAACAAAACAGTGGATTAGGAAGGGAAGGTGCGGTACATATACAATGGAATACTACTCAGCTATTAAAAAAAAGTAAACTCTTTTTTGGCAACAACATGTATGGAAATGGAGGGTATAGGCAAAGTGAAATATGTCAAAGGAAAAAGATACATATTGAATGGTATCAGTTATATGTAGACTATAGAGAAACAAACAATAGATCAGATAAAGCCAAACCAATTATAAGCCCTAGAAATCTGACTGTAGAATTGAGTTAATCAGAGGGAGGAGGGAAGGAGGAGAACAAAGTAGGGTGGGGCACAAGGGACTATGGTGAAGAACTTTCAGTGCCTTTGTGGTGGGTGTAATATTGTAACATACACCCGAAGGGTGGGATCCTATACACCATTATCATATACAGTGTTATAAATCAATGTTATATCAATAAATTAAGCAAAAAAATAAAATTTAAATTTGGATCTCCTTGATTACTAAGAGGGAAAAACCACCAGGCCTAGGGCTCTGTTTTGCTAAAATAATAATAACATCATAACTTAAGTGTATTGAATGTTTATCATCTGCCAAATGCCTATGAATTAGGCTGTATTTCCCATTTTTCCAAACAAGAAACTGAGACAACAATGGTTAAATAATTGCCCATGGATGCAAACAGCTAGTGAAGTTACTGAATGAGGAGCTAGAATTATCATTATCAAATGAGATCAGAATGTGATAATATGTTCGACACTTATCACACTTCATAATTGTACATTTAGCTTATGAACATGTGGCTAATGTTTTCTTTTCCTGGTAGACTCTGCACTTTATCAAAGTAGAGCTGAATCTGGTTTTGTTAATCTTATACATTGTTAATCTTATACATGGTAGGGTCTCAATATTTCATGAATAAATAACAAGGTTAGTTGCTGATACTCAGAAGCCAGTACCCCATCAGTACAGAACAAAATGAGGGTGAATTGCCCTTTACTCACCATGAGGGATTATAGGTGTTTTGTCGCAGTTTGAGACTTCAAAGACACACTGGATTTCCGGTCTGTGTGTTATCATAGCAGGGAGAAACTGGGAATTGACTGGGTTCACATTATTTTCCTCAATGTGTGTACAAGGGAGCCTCAATTTACTCAGATTTTTGTCTTACTTAATTTGAAAAATAGCATCTCTTTACTAGTTCATCTTCTCCTGAAGCCCCACTTAATCCCAATCTCCTCTCTTCAGCCGAAGACATTCTTTAACATATTCAGAAACCAAAGGCTCTCCATGCCAGTGTCCAGCCAGTTATAATTGTCCTCCCTACACAGCTAATAAGTCTCTGTGTTCAGAAAATGTGAATTTATCCCCATGTCCTACACTTGAAATTTTATAATTTTTTTTTTTAACATACAGTGAATTCTGGTTTCATACCCTGGCTATTTCCTGAAACAGTTGAGACTATTCTTTGCTCAAACAACCTCTCTCATTTCCACATGTGCTGTTTAAATCTAGTAACATTTAGTGTTCCACTAAAGTTGAATTTTATTTTCCCTAGGACCAGTAACATCACAGTACTTGTCATACAGATGGTTATTTCTTCCTACATTGACTTTTTCATTCTTTAGAAATCACTTCAACTATAACATACCAAATGTTAATAACTGTACCAGATAGCAATTTAAATATCTATCTGCAGTTAAGGAATTTTGGAGATTTAGATGAATACTACTTTTCAGCACCATCCTGAGGAGTTTAAACAGTCTTTTGAGGGCCTCCCCTGGTGGTGCAGGTGGTTGAGCGTAGCGCTGTGAAGCTGTCAACAGCCTCTGCAGCGCGGGTTCGATCCCTGCCAGCGGGTGAGAATCCCACATGCCGTGGCAGACCTCTCCTGTCTCGCCTCCTGCTCCCCTCAGCAGTGTATTTCAGTCAGTCTGCCTGTTCTGCTCCCCACTCTGTCTCTGTCTCTCACCCTCCCGCATATCTGGCCTGTACCCCAGTTCTTGTATGCATGAATAAATAAATCTTTAATAAAAAAATAAAGACTTTTGGGAGATTCAAAAAATGAATAATAAATAAAAGATGTCATGAATACTACTCTACTTCACACATTTTTTTTTAATATTATGGAAGATGATCCAGCCACAAAATGGATTCATGGAGGAGATGACTGAGTTTAAACATAAAGGATTTTGACAGGGAAAAAATTAAAAATAATAATAATAAGGATATAAAGAGAATAATCCAGAGAGGAAACCTCACCAATAAAAAGAGAATGGTTATTGAATTCATATTAGTCAGAGGCTAGTGGGCAGATAAAGACAGTAGTAGGGCAAGGATCAAGGGACAGGTTGGAAAGATT